TGTAGCCCTGGTTTCACAGAGAAAGCTTAAGCCTAGTCCCAGACTGAAATGCATGTTTTTGAGCTATCTTAAGTAACTGAAAGCAACTTGCACTGACTCAAGTGCTTCTGTTTTGTCTCAAGAAGCACAATAATGTTTGCCCAGTAATGTTTTTTTTTTCTAAGGCATGTTTATAAAAGCTACTTAAATGTCCGAAATGAACTAAGGTCTAATCCTGGCTTAATCTGAGCCCTAAACCAGGCCATCAATTATTACTATTATCCTTATTTGTACACTTCAATTTAATGCTACTAGTATATAGATTTTTGGATGAGATTGGAATGTTGAATTCAAATGGTTTGACTTCTGTGTTTGCACTTGTGTGGTTCATGATCATTGTGTTCACCCCTGTGATCTGTTTGTTTCTACAGCTATTTTAATTCAACATGGTAGAGTTGATTAAAGGCCCTATGTCTGAGCAGCGTGGTTTCATCCTGTTCTCAGTGCGTAGGCACTCACGTTAACCGTGTCCCTGAAGACAACGTGCTGCCGCTGATTATTAATTCATGAAGGTGGTGCTGTTTTAAAACACTGCGTTCCCACAACCCCGTGCTGTTTTCTCAAGAGCTCTAACATGATGTCAGGTCACCTGACCAAAGTCAGCTGATTTTTATGATCGGGCCCTAAAAATGAAGGTTTCCACAAACAGTGTCTCCTATTATAAGTGGTTATTTTATAAAGTCTTTCACAGATGTCTCTCAATGCTTTTAAACCCCACTGTATTTCATCGAGTGTATAAGAGAGCTAATTGGATTCTGTATAAAAAGCATCTCTGTATGCTAAGCCGAAGCCTGGAGGCAGAGCTGTAGTTGTGTTGTGTTTGTGAACTCTTTTTTTTTTCTTCTGCTGTATATTAAATGCATAGCATAGTATAATCTGAGATCATACCAATGTGAAGTCTATAGTCCACACTTAATCCTCTGACTAGGGATTTTCTCATTTTCTCTTCCCTGTTTTTTCTTTCCTCTGTTGCTCATCACACACTGAGGCTGTGCTGATTCTAGGATTTCAGGCTTAAGATCATCAATAAAACCTTTTTTGGCTTACTTTTATTATTATTAAAACCAATGAAAATTGATAATGTCAGTCATGATTTGATTGCACTCTCAAGAGTTGAGACATTTTTAGAGAAAATTGAATTTTATGTAAATAGACCTTTTTTCCTTTTTCTGAGATTATATATGGGGGCATCATATAAAAAGGTATTTTTACTATATAGCATACTACTGTTGAATCGCTTATCGTTAAACGGTTTCAAAGATTTCACATAATATTTTTTAAATAAATAGTAGGCAGTATTCAGTGTATACTGTGCAGTATTTGCAGTATATCCCATTGTGAACATAGTCACGCAACGCATACACACACTAGGTTCAGGAGATCCCTGTAGAGTCATGTGCGGATCAGACCATGTCATGGGACCACATGGGGATTAAACACATCATTTGAAATTACACTGAACACATCACACTCTGAAACATACTGTACTAACATCATGGCGAACACTGGGTTTTATTTTATTTTTTTGACACTTGAATTTATACGTTACCATTCAAAAGTTTGAGGTCAGTGAATCTTTTTTTTTATTTTTATTTTTTATAAATTAATTCCTTCATTAGCAAGGATGCATTAAAGTAGTCAAAAATTATAGTAAAGACCTTTCTGTCATGGCAACTCTCTGAGAGATTGGCATGGTAATGGGAATAGATATTGGTAATGGTAATGTATTTGTTCTTTGCGTAATACACTCACCTAAAGATTTTTAGGAACACCACACTAATACTGTGTTTGACCCTCTTTTGCCTTCAGAACCGCCTTAATTCTACGTGGCATTGATTCAACAAGGTGCTGAAAGCATTCTTTAGAAATGTTGGCACATATTGATAGGATAGCATCTTGCAGTTGATGGAGATTTGTGGGATGCACATCCAAGGCACGAAGCTCCCGTTCCACCACATCCCAAAGATGCTCTTTTGGGTTGAGATCTGGTGACTGTGGGGGCCATTTTAGTACAGTGAACTCATTGTCATGTTCAAGAAACCAATTTGAAATGATTCGAGCTTTCTGACATGGTGCATTATCCTGCTGGAAGTAGCCATCATGAGGATGGGTACATGGTGCCATAAAGGATGGACATTGTCAGAAACAATACTCAGGTAGGCCGTGGCATTTAAATGATGCCCAATTGGCACTAAGGGGCCTAAAGTGTGCCAAGAAAACATCCCCCACACCATTACACCACCACCACCAGCCTGCACAGTGGTAACAAGGCATGATGGATCATGTTCTCATTCTGTTTACGCCAAATTCTGACTCTACCATCTGAATGTCTCAACAGAAATCGAGACTCATCAGACCAGGCAACATTTTCCAGTCTTCAACTGTCCAATTTTGGTGAGCTCTTGCAAATTGTAGCCTCTTTTTCCTATTTGTAGTGGAGATGAGTGGTACCCGGTGGGGTCTTCTGCTGTTGTAGCCCCATCCGCCTCAAGGTTGTGCGTGTTGTGGCTTCACAAATGCTTTGCTGCACACCTCGGTTTGTAACGAGTGGTTATTTCAGTCAAAGTTGCTCTTCTATCAGCTTGAATCAGTCGGCCCATTCTCCTCTGACCTCTAGCATCAACAAGGCATTTTCGCCCACAGGACTGCCGCATACTGGATGTTTTTCCCTTTTCATACCATTCTTTGTAAACCCTAGAAATGGTTGTGCGTGAAAATCCCAGTAGTAGATTGTGAAATACTCAGACCGCCCGTCTTGCACCAACAACCATGCCACGCTCAAAATTGCTTAAATCCCCTTTCTTTCCCATTCTGACATTCAGGAGTTCAGGAGATTGTCTTGACCAAATTGAACAGGTGTTCCTAATAATCCTTTAGGTGAGTGTAGATCTGCTAAGCTGCTGCTGCTGCATCGCAAGTACTGAGATTTGCTACTGCCAATTCATTCACAGACATTGCTGTGAGCATGTAAGACATGATGCTGTAGCTGCACATGTAACATGCATGAATTAACCCCTGTAGCAGATCTATACATGTGGAGCTGGGGAAGTTGGAGGGTTTCTGGAAGTGTTCTGAAAGTATTCTGGAAAATTCAGCTTTGCCATCACATAATTATATCGAAATGCTAAAAAAATTAAAGTATTACAGTACATCCCCAATATGTCACATTTTTTTTCTTTTTTTATTGGGGACAGGTTAGTGCAGGTGTGTTGACTAGTATTGACACAGTAACTAAAGGGATGTTTGATGACTGCAGGTAGAACTGGAAGTGACTGAACACACTAATAAGTATACCTGCACTTTGAAAAGTTCGATTTTAATAATTTGTCTTTAGTCAGACTGAAATTGTAGTGAATTTTTCCAACATGTTAAGCTAACTACACTTGTCCTCAGCACTGTGTGCATGCTCTGAGAAACAGAGGTGATGCATATAAAAGTAGTACAATTGGTTGCATCATAATGGGGGCGGGGCAGAGGTGAAATTGGTGTAAATGCACTATGGAAGTGAAATGTATTGGGATTGGCTCTGACAATATGGGGGTCTCAATTTTAATCTTCTTACCAGTCATGATTTCCATCTATTCGCTGCAATGTCTCTATCTCCATCTGAGCAAACAACTCATGAAGTTCAGCTGTATTTTAAACAAGAGACCTGTGGTGAGGCAGCAGAGAGAGAGAGAGAGAGAGAGAGAGAGTGAGAGAGAGAGAGAGAGAGAGAGAGAGAGAGAGAGAGAGAGAGAGAGAGAGAGAGAGAGAGAGAGAGAGAGAGAGAGAGAGAGAGAGAGAGAGAGAGAGAGAGAGAGAGAGAGAGAGAGAGAGAGAGAGAGAGAGAGAGAGAGAGAAGAGAGAGAGAGAGAGATGAGAGAGAGAGAGAGAGAGAGAGAGAGAGAGAGAGTGTGTGTGTGTGTGTAGGTTGGCAAAGTGGGAGGGAGCAGCGCTTCCTTAGCTCAGGGACAGCTGGGCAGCGAGATAAGAGTGTCAGAGTTAGTAAGAGATCGTGAAAGAGAGAGTTTTGTCGAGACCACCACAGTGAAACTATGAGATGAACACCCAAGATCCTATATCTGAACCAGCTCTGAAATGAATGTAAGTTTGAGTTCATTTGAATCCTTAGGGCAGCATGTTTATCCTGTTGGCAAGAGATAGCAATCCCTTTGGATTGCTGGGAGTGAGGAAAGTTGGAAACTTCATTCATTGTTGTAATGTTTTCATATTGGTCCTATTGTTGTGCTAGTTTTTAGCCAATGCAAAAGACTGAAGACTCCTAGAGGAAAATATCCTTGCTCAGAGTCAGAGGTTTCTCTTTAATAGCTCAGGAGACAAAATGGAGTTCTTTAGATATGATTCATGTATGTAATATGTATATAGTAAATGTATATAGGATAAATGTAGGAAACAATTGTCTTAGGAGACCATTGTATAATATGTATAGCAATGCTTAGATCATTTGGGACATTTTGATGAGAAATACTTGAGTTTATATTCAAATCTCTGGCTTTTGATCGCTGACTTTGGTATATGGTACATTAAGATCTCTTCTGAAACTTTAAAGGATTCCTCCGTTTTCTTTCCATACAATCTCGTTGTTTTCTAGAAGGAACAGCAAAGTACTTTTCCTTGCTTTTTCCTTTTATTTCACTGCATCTTTAAAACCTCTGCGAATCTAATTAGCTTTCATTTGATTTGCATAAACAGCTTCTGCATCCAACTTTTGGCTAGTTACTGTAGCTACCAAACAGTCCAACAAAACAAAACCACCCAACTGAACCTCCACCGAGAAAGAAGGACACCAAATTAATTGTTCCAAGTGTCCTTGACATGATCCTTTGCAAATCCTACAAGGACAGTGGGATATATTCAGAGCTGATTGAGCAACATGCCAGCATGGAACATTGTATTTAGTATTGATGATGCATTTGTGTGTATAGATTTGTGGTCACGTTGGTTGTGTGGCCTTGGATGTGACCTCATTCGCATGTGTTTATTTAATCATATCTGTGATGTCGTAGAGGGAAGGAGAAAGTGCTCTGCTCTTGTTCTATGAAATATTCAGTTGCAGCTCGAAATGAGGGCGTTCCATCCTGCACGATGAGCTCCCGTACTTTTTTCCGGGAACACAATATTCCCCTTTTACCATTATTAGAGAATGCAGAAGGAAAGAGAAAAAAAAAAGATGATAAATGGTTTGTAAGAGAATCTAATAAAATCTAGCCATAACGCCACGGGCAATGGTATGTGCCCAGTCGTAAGTGTTACCTCGGGGATTACGGCTAGCCCACAAAACCCTACACTGTTAACTTTCGCTGTAGATTTAGCAGCACAGTACTGTAAAAACCTACAGTACAATACTGCATTTCTATATTACAGTAAAATACCGTAATTTGCATTGCATTCTGGGTAATTTTGTTTGAGCGGGAACATTTTACAGTACATTTTAGTGTTGCTGTAACCTAGCTGTAACCTGGCTGTAACATGCCAGGCAAATATACAGGGTTGCTGTAAACAGAGAGCGCGCGCGCCGCCTGACTGACGTCAGAGCACAACTGCGGCAGTTCACTCACTCAGCGCGGATATCTCACTCTGCGGATATCTGGAAATTTGGTAAGTTAATTTTGAATTTTATAATAAGGTTATAGGATGTTACGCTATAGTGTGTAGCCTACATAGCTTTTAATGTGAAATGACAGTGAAAGTTTAGCCAGCGACGGTTGCAAAAACACTGTTCAGTTTGTTAACGTTATCTGCTCTTTCACCCCGCTGCTTGTCCTGACATTTTCAAATTTAACGTTATAACTCCGTGAATTAACATTACCTTACGGTTTATTTCGACCAAAACAGATTTGGTGATTGTTGGAACGGTGGAAAGACAAAACCGATGGTCTTTTGTGAGTTTTATTTTGTTTCTGTCGAGTTTTAATTAAATGTGTTTTACGATGGTCTGCGAGATAAAATTACTGCATTTGACATGTTAGTCTAACGTTAACTGTTAGGCCTATCTCTGTAGGGAACACCCGAGCCTGTCAGTGGTAAAAACAAGCACTTATAACAGACATAACGATATACATTTTGATCAAACTGCTATATTTGCAGTCCGTTTCCCGAATGACGAACTTGATGATTTTATGATCAATACTGGACCAAATTGAAGTCGTTTAGACACAAAATAAGACGCGTGAAAATAAGGCTTAAAATATTGCACTGTCCTTTGCAACGCAAAATGGGTGATTTATTTGGGCTTAGAGAGATGGGCTTAGAGAGATTGGCTATTGGTACCAGTTTAGCCTTTTACTTCATTTCTATTTAGGCAGGAGACCCAGTTATATTGATTATTATAATAATTAAAAATATAAATAAAGGTGTAAATTGTTGAAAAACTTCAGACTATCAGAGTTAATGATCTATTAGGCAACAAAGATAAGTAAACTGCATGCCAAAAAATCAAGTTAGAATATTTAGAGAGGTCAAGTGAAGCTTATGTTTTATTAACCTAACTTAGATGTATTGTAAGCAGATTTATGAGATATTTCCTTAACAAGAAACACATAACCGTTAACTGAATACTATTTATTTTGATTTCTTACAGCTCTACAGTGTGGGACAATTTGCAGCCTGGGAAGGAGTTTTATGTAAGTATTAGCCATGTTAATACAATGTTTTAAACTTAAAGTTTTAAAATCTAAAGATTACTTTTTTGTGTGTGGCTGTTTTTGTTATTTCTACAGAATTTTCTCTCTTCCACTGTCTGTCTGCTCATCTTTGTTGCTGTGGCTAACAGATTTTGTCATGTGTTTTTGTGTGTCATGTCTTTTTCAGTTTTGGTCATCGGTCCAAGGTTCCAGTACCACCTCAAAATCCCAGCCAAGTTAAAGGGATACTCTACTGGTTTTTCATATTAAACTATGTTATTCCCTTAACTAAGACGAGTTGATACATACCTCTCTCGTCTCAGTGCGTACACTACATCGCTGTCTTGCGGCGAAACTTTGTTAGATCTTATCTCAGCCCTGTTCATTCAATACGTGCCAAGAAGAGAAGCGACCAAACACCTCCACGTTTTGCCTATTTAAATACAGTTACACGAGTAGTGTAACTCGACCTAGGACGGTGACACAAAATAAAACGTTGCGCTTTTCTAAGCGTGTAAAATGGATAACATATTGTATGGCAGAAAACCATAGCAAGTGCTTGGGAGCACTTCGACTCGGCGCAGTAATATCATCTCTCGTGAAAAGTCCGCTCCCGTTGAAATGAGAGGGAGGAGGAGAGGGAGCGGGGGGAGAGGACTTTTCACGAGAGATGATATTACTGCGCAGAGTCGAAGTGCTCCCAAGCACTTGCTATGGTATTCTGCCATACAATATAGTTATCCATTTTACACGCTCAGAAAAGCGCAACGTTTTATTTTGTGTCACCGTCCTAGGTCGAGTCACACTACTCGTGTAACTGTATTTAAATAGGGAAAACGTGGAGGTGTTTGGTCGCTTCTCTTCTGGGCACGTATTGAATGAACAGGGCTGAGATAAGATCTAACAAAGTTTCGCCGCAAGACAGCGATGTAGTGTACGCACTGAGACGAGAGAGGTATGCATCAACTCGTCTTAGTTAAGGGAATAAGATAGTTTAATATGAAAAACCAGTAGAGTATCCCTTTAAGTATGTCCAGCTACAGCTGCAAGTCATGCAGTTTCTCAACCTCTCTCTTAAATGCGTTCACATGGTTTTAATAGTGTAATTGATCAATAAATTTTTTTTTGGACAAGAACATTGTTTGGATTGTCTTTTGATTTGCAGTTATTCTGAAGTTGCATTATAATATTATTGCCTATAGATTTATATACTGTAATAACTACATATTATATAGTTATAATATCATTAGTAATTTGAAAATTACAATGTTTTGCAATAATGTATCAATATATCAATATAGATATTACAGTACAATATCGTATAAATTACAACAGAAGCAGACAAAAATGACAAAATACAGTAAAAATACAGTACAATACTGTTTTGTAGTTTACAGTACTGTTCGTGTGTACTGTAAATTGAATTACAGTACAGTTACTGTAAATCGAAATACAGTACCTTGCTGGCAACCTTGCTGCCAGTACTGTACTGTAAAAATACAAGAAAATTGTTAACAGTGTACTGTTTTACTTTACAGTCTAACCATATCGTAACCCATTTAGATCCCATCTGCTGCCCCTAAATTACTAACATTTGTGTGCCTTGGAAAGGAAAAAAGAGTGATCCACTGAGAGAGCATCATGCGATCTTGCGATCTTCGCTCATCTTTCAACACTATCTACGTAGAGCCCTTAGAGGAAGGGGCTTTTTATGCACTTCCCATGATGCTTTGGGGCAGGCGCTTCTGGACCACTTCTTTACATTATGCATTAGGAACAATGTAAGGTTTTTGCATGAGCGATTGAAGGGGTACCAATTAACATTAGCCAACCAAGACTGCATAAAAATGCACAGTTGCCGTGCAACCAAAGAGCATCTGTCATTTGGAGAGAGAGAAAATACATTTTTGATATAACATTTTGATATAATCATATTTTTTTTTCAACAATTTTACATGTACCTTTACAATTTACCTGTGAGTAAATGTGGTTGTCAATTCCAAAAAAACGTACAGTGTGAACGTATCCTTAGTATCTCATACTTTTGACTACTATGTCATAATTTACCATTATGCCCTGAAATGAGGCTTAAAGGATTAGTTCACTTTTAAAAAAACTTTTGCTGATAATTTACTCACCCCCATGTCATCCAAGATGTCCATGTCTTTCTTTCTTCAGTCGAAAAGAAATTAAGGTTTTTGATGAAAACATTCCAGGATTTTTCTCCATATAATGCACTTTGCTGGGCACCAAACGGTTCAAGGTCCAAAAGACAGTTTCAGTGCAAACTGCAAACTGTTCAAAGGGCTTTAAATGACACCAGACGATGAATAAGGGTCTTATCAAGCGAAACGATCGCTCATTTAAAAAAGAAATAACAAAGTTTAAGTTTTATAAGCTCAAATCCTCGCCTTGCTCTGTTCTGTGTGACTCTCCTGTTCGAACTCGTTCATCAAAATGAACGAATCTTTTTCCGAGTCAATTCGTTCATTTCGTTCGTTAAATGAGCCAAATGACTCGAAAAAAGATTTGTTCATTTTGATGAACGAGTTCGAACAGGAGAGTCACGAACGTGCATCACAGAACAGAGAAAGGCGAGCATTTGACATTATTAAACTTAAACTTTGTTATTTATTTTTTAAATGACCGATCGTTTCGCTTGATAAGACCCTTATTCATCGTCTGGAATCGTTTAAAGCCCTTTGAACAGTTTGCAGTTTGCACTGAAACTGTCTTTTGGACCTTGAACCGTTTGGTGCCCAGCAAAGTGCATTATATGGAGAAAAATCCTGGAATGTTTTCATCAAAAACCTTAATTTCTTTTCGACTGAAGAAAGAAAGACATGGACATCTTGGATGACATGGGGGTGAGTAAATTATCAGCAAACGTTTTTTTTTAAATTGAACTAATCCTTTAACAATTTTATTAAATGGTAAATCACAAGTGATCTTTGTTCAGTAACATTTGTAAATTGTCCTGTGTGTGATTTGCAGAACTCCAGCCCAGAATCGGTGGACTCCAGCGAGGAGATCACAGACACAGAAGATAATGAGGAGGAAGACCTCGGAGTCTTGGATGACCAGAGGAGCATCATCCTTCATCTGCTGTCTCAACTCAAACTGGGCATGGACCTCACACGGGTACACACACACACACACTTGCTGTCCCACCCAAACTGATCATCAAGTTAATGGTGCTGAAAGAATTCGGCCATTCCGTACTTGTATACATCATTCTTCCTTTTCTCATACAAACAGGAACCACTCAAGACTATTTATCTGTTCTCAATCTCAGGGAACAAAGGATGGGTTTTCCAGCTTTTTATGATTTGGAAATTTTGACAAAAACCCACACTGTGTGCCATAAACACAGATATTTGGAATGCTTTGGAATACACAATGAATTTATTTACCAGTAAAATTTATACCAATATACTTATACTGTATATTTTATTATAAATTTGTTTTTGTTTTCTGTACAGATGAAAACGTTATCAAAAGGATTCCCGTTCAACTAGAAACAACTAAAAACGTATGCATGCCAGATAAGTAATTGGCAATGTCACTTTGTAAAGAGAGACCACGCGCCTGCGCACATACGCATTAAAACGCGCATGCCTATAGACTAAATGTGTAATACGCATGTGCCATAGAATGCATGCCATAACCGTTTTCACAGATTCACGTTTTTGAAGTTTACATGGACCTGATAACGGTATCGCTTTCAAAACCCGTTTTCAAAAACGTGCACTTTGAAACCTACTTCAAAATTTGCCACCAAAACGCCATTGTCGTGTCAATGAACGGCCAGAATGCATTAAAAGTTTTCTGTTTTCAGTTGAAAACGCTGTTGTGTAAGCGGCCCCTATGTTAATAACTAATGATTTTTACAACGGAAATGAATCAAGTAAATGTATTGTAGTCTTGCGTGGACATTGTCCAGTCTCGGACACAGATTGAGGTTATGTTCTGTTTTGTGCTCCGAGTTCCTGTGGTCATTTCATGTCTTCCTTAGTTGACCTAGTTTCCTAGTGTGGGTCTATCTTTTACCTTAGTAAATTATTGTGTCCACCTGCCCATTGTTAACTTAGTCGTTTCGTCCTGTGTATATATACACCCCTGTTTAACTCAGTCTCTTGTTGACACTATGTGTGGTTTTCTCTTCTGTATATTTGTATGATCCCCTGAGTATTTTGGTTTATTATTAAAAGACTAATTCTTGGAATTTGATATTGTCCTACGTTTGATTGAACCACGCTGTTACAGTACCATGCTACGTACAAGGAATATTAACATAATCATAGCTCAGGGGAAATTCAGTTTCATAATTATACTTTACGTAATCAGTTAACAGGATACTTTATCTGATTTGATGATCCTATTCGCCCTCGTGATTAGGAATCTAATGGACCGATTCAAGCGTGTCGAGAGGTGTCATGATATTATTATTCTAATTACTGTGCATCAGCCTCAGGAATGTCTCAGTGTTGGTTTTGATATATGTTTCTCTCTCTACTATCTACAGAGGCGTCTCTGTTTAGTCTCTCTGATATTAACATTTCCTTCTGGGCTTGTGTTTATAGTTCAGCAGGATTTGAGCAGTCATTTGGATAGCTGAGATGATGAAGTTCAGTGATGTGTGTGTGTATGTGAATTGTAGGCCTCAGGGGAAAGGGACAGAGCATTAATCCATGGAGTCAGAATCTGTATTACAAAGACAAGCATACAGCTATTATATTATCTTTGAGCACTGAGCACCAGTAATAGGCACGCGCTTACACTGACATCACATCACATTCATTGAATTGTTTAATAATATAAAATAATATTTTAGCAATATTACAAGAATAATATGCTCTTTTGTAATATCGGCGTAGATGTGTGAGTGCCACGGGGTAACCAAAGCCAAGCTGATAAAACAGCACGATTGCAAGTATGATAATGTTTTTATACACAAGTAAAAACAGGAAATTTGTATTGACTAAATTTAGGCACAATATTGCGAGTTGCTTTGTCTGTTTTGGCCCCACCAACAAAAACAGCCCAGAACAATTTCACAGCAGAGCCGTTGTGTGACATAGTGTGGGTGGTTCATTTCTGAAAGAGTCTGCATTTTGAAATGGTTGAGTGAATAATTCAGTGACTTGCTCAACAAGACAGTGGTTGAGTCCAAAATCACATACTCTCTTGAGTAGGTACTTAATTTTGAATAAGTAATTACTTCACGGCCACTGAAAAA